TTATCGATTTTTAACAAAAATCTTGATAGTGTTTCAACAAGATTACAACGGATGTTGCTGAGATTATTAAAGTATAGTTTAAAAATTGTTTATGTACCAGGAAAGAATATGAATGCCGCTGATACTCTATCAAGATCCTTCTTAGATGCATTCGTTCCGGATGATCCTGAAATGACTTATCTTGTTCATACATTAGCATTGCATTTACCAATAACGTCAGAAAAAAGAATAATGTTCAAAAGTGCTACCAGTGAAGATGCAGTTTTATCTGAAGTTAAAAAATATCTTTTAGGGTCATGGCCACGTCATAATACTTTGTCAAGTGATTTGAAACACTATTTCAAATTGAAAGAAAATCTGATTGAATCAGATGATCTGCTTTTCTTCAATTCCAAACTGCAGGTAGTGCCTAAAACTTTGAGGAAAGATATGTTGAAACTTATACATGAGAGTCATTTCGGTATAGAAAAATGTAAAATGAGAGCTAGACAAGTATTCTATTGGCCGAATATGAATAATGATGTAGAAGAAGTAGTATCTAATTGTATTAAATGTCAAACATACAGGCGATCTAATCAGAAAGAACCTTTGAGACCTCTACCTATTCCATCACGTGCCTGGGAAAGACTACATACAGATATATTAGAGTATGAAGGTAAAAGTTTCTTGATACTTATTGATGCGTTTTCCCATTGGATTGAAGTGGCTCAACTGAAATATAAGAGTGCTGTAGAAATTTTGAAAATTTTGAAATACATTTTTGGGAGATTTGGCTATCGAGATGTGTTATTTGCATATAATAATCCATTCAATTCAAAACCATCAGAAGAATTTTCTAATGACTGTAGTTTTATGATCGAAACATGTAGTCCATATCATCACAAATCTAATGGTTTGGCAGAAAAAGCTGTTAGTATTGTTAAGCAGATGATGAGGAAAAAAAATGATGGTGATGGTGATGATATCTCCCTGTCACTTTTAGCTTATAGAAATACACCAATACCAGATATTGGGTATTCTCCCTCCCAAATGTTTTTGAACAGAATTGTCAAAACCAAAATTCCAATTACTGTTGAAAATTTGAAATGTGAAATTATAGATCCAAAATCAATTGTAGAAATATTAAAGAGAAATAAAGAGAAGCAAGCATATTATTACAACAAAAATGCTAAAGTTCTTCCTAAATTGAAACCCATTGATGATATTTTCATAAGACGGAAAGATAAATGGGTAGCTGGAAAAGTTATTAATCAATATAATGACAGAGCATATATTGTTAAAAATGAGGATAATCATGAATACAGAAGGAATAGAGAATTCCTTAATAAAACGAATATTCCTTTCAAACAGTCCTGCAAGCTTAGTGATATTACTGATAATCTTAATTCTGAGTCGGTAATTGAAGAACCGGTATCTAATGATATCATTGCAGCAGAAGAAAGTATACTCGACTTTGATATTCTCAATGAGCCCAGTGACAGTATGGCATCTCCTTTGATCTCTAAGCCCAAGAGAATAATCAATCGTCCACAGTACTTGAGAGATTATGTAACTTAAAAAAAAAAAAAAGGAAAACGTGTTATGTTATATAGATTTATAGTTGCCTCTGAAAAATGAATGTTTCATTTAGGTGATCATGACCACGAATACACATGTCAGGTTGACATAGATAACATCATACTGAACATAAGTTGAATATTGAAATATCAATAAAAATATAAAAATAAGTATATTTGCCTAGTTATTACATGCACAAGTTTTCATTCATCCTATTCTTGATCGATATGGGGAAACTTGTGCACACTATAGCCTTTTTGAGTTATACAACAAATAATCGAAAAAATATTGATTTTTAATATTTTTCCATCATTTTGACGGGGGCCAATGATTTTCGATTCAAAAAATATATCCTCTATTCCATCCTTGATCGATTTGAGAAAGAAAACTTTGTGCACACGATATAGCCTTTCTGAATTATACAACAAATAAGCGAAAAAATAATGAGTTTTAATATTTCTTCATCATTTTGATAGGGGGCCAATGAGTTTCGATTCAGAAAATATATTCTCTATGACCTCCTCGACCGATTTGAGGAAGGAAACTTTGTGCACAAGATAGCCTTTCTGAGTAATACAACAAATAATCGAAAAAAAAAAAAATGATTTTCAATATTTTTTCATCATTTTGACGGGGGGCCAATGAGTTTCGATTCAGAAAATATATTCTCTATCCCCTCCTTGACCGATTTGAATAAGGAAACTTTGTGCACACGATAGCCTTTCTGAGTTATACAACGAATAATCGAAAAAATAATGATATTTAATATTTTTTCATCATTCTGACGGGGGGGGGGGGGCAATCAGATTGGGACTCGGTCGAGTTCTATAATATACTAAAAATTCAGAGAATTCGACAGAACGCCATTTTTATATAGAAAAAGTGCGGGGTCCTTTGTTGTTATTGATGGTTGTTTTTGTTGTAGTGTATTTTGTTTGTTTTCAATTTGGTGAATCGTTCTATCAATGAAGTTCTTTGGAAAGGAGCTGAGTTGAAGAACAATTTCAATGTGGTGGATTTCGTTATTGATTTGTTGGTCCGATTAAAGTGATTTCAAGATCAATTATTGATGAAAACATCTTGTAAATCATTTGCATTCTAACATCACTCATTTATATGCCAACATCAGTCTTTCACTGAGAAGTATTACACTATAAGAAGGCAATTTTGAAAGAATAATATTTCACATTTTTCCTGTTGAAAATGGGAGCAGATTCGTTCCCGAAATGTCCAATGCTAACTGAAAATTTGATAATTTTTCTACATACCTATTCGTCTCTTCTCCAAACCTTTTTCAAGACAAATTGTCACTGGCAAGCGAATGAATTTTTCTTCTAGGCTCTGATAGGAACATTTTCAAAAGCAGTTATATTTTGTGGCAAATCATCTGATTTGCCCTCCCTACACGTATATTGAGCTATTATTCATAATTTCATTTTTTAGAAACGAGGAGAGAAAATGCCAAAAAAAAAACAATAATGTACTTAATTTTTTAAAATATTCCTGACGAAAACCATTTCCTGTCTTTAGCTAAAACTGTAAATTTGAATAAATAAATAATAAAAATTGGACTCATCAGGAGCTTCATTGTCACATCTTATTCTTGGTTATCTCCGAACATAAATTAACGCTTCATTGAATTGTATATTTCTCTCCATTCACTTTGAAACTACAACAATTAACAATCAACAGGAGAATCTTTAGGCCCACCACGAAGCAATAAGACAGGCTTTATCGACCTAAGACTCTTCCCTCGTTAACATAACTTATGTTATAAGCAATATGTACTTCAATTCGACAAATAAAGAATTTGAATAATATAATATAATTAGCTTTACAAAACAATACATGATTTAACTGATAAATGTTCACAATTTACATAATAGATACTGCGGCGAAACTCAATTGATCTCAGGGGTAGTTTATATGGGTCCACACTGTATATATGTGGTTTCTGGGTAAGAAAAACTTGCTAAGTCGGACAGACGAAGTTTTAATTCCACCCAATCGTAGCCTGCGTCTAAAACTGACAGAGAAAACCAAATACAAAATTTTTTCCCACGATATGATCCGAATACAATTGACAAATAAGTAGCAAAGATAATTGAGTCCAGTAAACTATAAGCGATATATTTTAATGACGTAACTCACCTGACAGATCAGGGATCAGGCACACTGTTGCTGAAATAATTATATTTCAGGACAGATGAGAACACAAAGATTCTGTGCAGTCTATAGCAAACACTTTCGAAATTGGGGAAACTTTTTGGTTGACGATATCAGCTTGGATATATTTTACGCACTGAACACTCCCAAGAGCAACAACGCTCGAAATTTTCACTTTATTATAAAAACGGGAGCTCGCTTCTTTCGGTATTCGACAAAAACTAGAAACAACTAATTAATTTTGGAACGAGGATTCAGACACAGGGGAGTGCCCGTGGGGATAATGATAAAGTATGAAATGCTATATAATTGGGGTGATTATTTCGGGAAATGACTGGAATATAGCAATCTCGTATTGGTTTCGCTACAATACCGAAATGGCATTGCAGTTAAATCTAACGATTTTGTATTTGCTATCCGGGCATATGTACTTTAGCGTTTTTATGGATAAGTACTTGGATACTACAAATGATGATATATTTGTGATAATTATAATACCTAATAATATCGTCTTTATCATTTCATGAAATGAAAATATAACATAATCAGCTATCATGAAATAAAGGGCGAAGTTCATTGGTATGCATCACAGAAAATATCTTTCCACTTTACAAAAAAATACTACCAGTAAATGTAGATACCCACCTCGCGAATTTTACTGTACAAACTTGCATCTTATTGTTATTTTTCTTAATTTGAAAAATCTTCCAATGTTATATGTATGTTCATGTACTGTCTGTACTCCCTTTTTCAAATTATTTTTTGTGTTCATGTCCAACTGTCACTGCATTTCAGAGTAGGTATATGTACTGGCGTACTTTTCTACAATACAAAAACATAGAATCTATCTAGGTTCTCCAATCGTACGTAAGTTAGTTCTTTTGTGTGTTTGAATTTTTGTGAATTCTATTTTTCTTTCAAAATTGATTTTATGATATTATAGAGAGATTTTCGAGTGTCAATCAACTGCTCAGTTAACCATTTATTTCTATTGGTCAAATTTCAAAGCAATTTGCATCATAAACCAATCAATTAGAATTAGTGATAATTTACAACTGGTATTTGCTGTAAACCAACTTTTCACTTGAAAAGCCCTCCATGAAAGCCGCCATAACCAGAACACAGAAAGAATGAATTCACCTAATAGATAATCAATTTTGGGCGTGTCTTAACTAGGTTTCTTAATTTTTCCAAATTATTGTTCTGGAATGAACAAACTTATCTGCTGATTATCAAATATATTGCAGATTATAAATCCAATTATCACTGATATTAGTGTGCGTTTCACTACCACATTAATTCCATCATTTTTTTATAGTCAATGTGGAGCAAGCTTAAAACACCAGAATGACTGAAGATAAAAAAAAGTATAATGCCATGGAACCAATACTCAATAACATAAATCGGAAATACATATCTTTACCTGACGAAGATGACAGAAGGAATAAAATTATCTTGAAAGGGGTAAGTTTTATTTTCACTTGCACATATCTGAGATCATATATCTATCTGGTGACCATGGAAACTGGGCCAATCTTGTGATTAGACGGTTAGCAATATGTAAACTGTAATAATTAGCATCTAACTTGAGTCATTTCTGGATTGGGTGGTTACAGCTATATCGCTGAAGATCGGTTTATCCAGTCACCATTGATATCACTCATCGAAACTTTTTGTTTCTATGAGACGATGGTAACATTTCGTGACAACTTCCCAAAAAAAATGAATATTTGACTACCACCTACCTACCTAACTGAAATATCATAATAGATATCTATTTACCATACACAAGTACCTATCATAGATTCATATTACAATATGATATGGGAATTTGTCGAACGAGGCCGAAGGATATCGATTATCGTAATACGAATTTACGATACGAATATAGTACAATATTTTACCTACTACCAAAAACGCTAATTATTTAATCAAAAATAGTTAATTTCACTTTAATTGACGATTTATTAGGAATATGTAGCAAGCAAGCGTTGCAAGGGTTGGGCGTATAGATAGATAGATAGATAGATAGATAGATAGATAGATATCTATTTAGTGATTTGAAATACTTTCAATTACACACGTCAGTAGTATACAGGGTAATCATTTGAATACTTGTAAAATACAAACAAATGATAATAACAAATATAAAACAAGTTGAGACAAACATAAACATACTCAAGTAGGAAGCTTTTTACGGTCGATAAAATGGAGAGATACTGTGTCACTGGGAAGGTGGGTATTCCGTGTTAATCAGTAAATTCGGCACATTGGTATTCTCTAATAGAATAAAAATTGAACCTCAGTAACATCTGTTTGATTGAAGTTTTAAATTTGGTGGTATTCTGGTTTTTATAATTATCGGGAAGTTTATTGTACAGATCGACATTTAAGGAGTTTTTGGATGAGGTTTCCAGTCGTAATCTTGGGTTGATAAGTGAGTTTTTATTTCTTCTATGGTAGTTGTGTATGTTCTTATGCTTAATAAATAAATGAATGTTCTCGTGAATCTCTAAAAGACAATGAAATATATATAAAGCTGGTAAAGTCATAATATTCAATTTCGAAAATATCTGTCTACATGCCTCCCTGGGTCCTGCACCATCAATTATTCTGACGGCCTTTTTTTGGAGGATATATATCCGTTCAGCCTGCGAGGAGTTGCCCCACAAGGTTATTCCGTAGACCAGATGTGAATGGAAAAGTGAGAAATACGACATTGTGATGGCCGTTGAGCTGAATGATTTCTTCAAAGTTCTTAATAAAAAAATTTGAGTGGATAGTTTTTTACTTAGATAATCAATATGGTCGTACCATTTGAGTTTATTGTCGAGGGTCATTCCAAGGAGTTTAACTTTGCCGTGAGAGACGTCTTTATTCATAGAAAAGACAATTTTTTTAGTTTTCCCTGGATTGTTGACGAGTCCATTCAGTTTAAGCCACTCGTCTACTTTGTTTTGTGTGGTGAGATCATTTTGTTGTAATGTGGCAATACTGTTGCTTGAGTGGAAGAAAGTAATGTCGTCCGCAAAAATAATGCAATCGGATGGCTGAAGATGATAGAATATGTCATTGACATATATTATGAATAGGAGGGGTCCAAGAACGGAGCCTTGAAGCACTCATATCGTTGCTAGTTTAGTTTCGGAAACTGTTCCATTAAAAAATACATATTGTTGTCTGTCCTTTAAGTAAGACTCAAAAAAGTTGTAGGTAGTACCCCTGATTCCATAACATTCAAGCTTTTGTAGAAGTACTGAGTGGTATACTTGTAAATCTAGTTTTTTCTAGTTTTTCTGTGAACTGTCAACTTTGACGTGTTCGTTCCAATTTGAGAAAAGCTTTTATCGATTTGGAATGTGGTGCAGTTCAAAAAAAGATTTTATCAGCTCAATTTGCTGGTAAGGCTGAAAAAGAATAGCTATCCTCATTATGGACACACTACGGCATGCTCATAAAAACTATTTCTATGAAGAAAAATGTGAATAGTTCAGTAAATATTCACATCTGTTGACTTTATATCTTATTTTGTATCTCATTACGAAACTAAAATCATGTTTCACATTACATATTGGTAGTAGGTAAAATATACTAACAAACCACCCAGATATTATTGAATCTAAAATTGATGATAAGCATATGGAGCATGTCATTTTGAATGACAATTCAACAGATATAATGTTCGTCATGGTGTGTATAGTATCGGTTACAACAGTGATTGTTCTAAAATTATTTGATTTCCAAACAACCTGGTGTGTAATTTTGTCACCGAACACCACACGAGGTTAAATTACTTTCCGGGAATAATTTAACCTCTAGTGGTATCACAAGTTGAAATTTTCGTAGGATGTTGGAATGCGCTACTTGTTTCCCATTCAACCAAATTGATATCTTCAGATCCCCATGCTGTGCAACCTTATCTTGGCCACTCTGTATATTGATGGTTAATAAATATCTTAACGTAACTGCTCGTTTATTGGTTTAGTTGAGAATGTTTTCTTCAAGTTGATGCTAGACTGAATTTTTGGTGGATGTTGCTTTACTTACAAATCTACTTATTCGAGCTTGTGTCAAAATTGTCGTTAGCTGTGAAAATCGGTGCAATCAAATTATCAAATGCAATTGCATAAAAAACATAGCTGATTTGCGTGATTTTTTGTTAGACATTGTATGATCATTGAAATCAATTATTGGATGGTATATTATTATCATTGTCATATAATTTTTGAGAGAGAATGACAATACTTATCAGATAATCTTTATCTCAGATAATTATAAACAAATATACGAATTCACTATGGTATTACCAGGAAATAGGTAGTTGCTTACTGATATATAGTATAACGATGATTTTAAGTATTGGTTCATGCCAACATTTTCATTCAATTTAAATACATAACAGACCCATTTTGCTGTTTTTATTTAGATTTGTCGTTTTCTCTTCCAAATTTGACATTATTTTTTAACGTTGTCGAGCTGTTCATTTTTATATTGAAAACTGTTCGCAGATGATCATAATCAACCAAAATCATGCATGAAAAGGAATAAGGATATCTTATACAGGGTGTTTCAAAAGAAATGTGACCCCCTTGCTAGGATAGGTAGATCACTGCAAAATAAGTTGGGTTAGCTCAGTAAAAAAATGTCGTAAGGGCATCCGTTTTCAAGATACGAGGTGTTGAAAAAAATATTTTTTTATACATTTTTACGATTATATCGAAACTCGTACCGAGTAGTTCTGAACATAAATTTTTTTAGGTTAGATTTTTCAGTCCAAATTTAATGTAGACTTGAAAATCAATCAATTTTACCCTTAAAATGTACTTTTGGTCTAACTCGATACTGTGTTCCCTTTTCGAGATATTTTAATTTGAAAATGGTGAAGTATTAATTCTGGTAATAAGTCCTTGTTTTTTTATTATAGACAATCATTTCTGCTTCAAATTGAAATATATGCCTCATACTTTCATTGTTGTTAAAGATTTGACTCGTTATATCAGTGCTACAGGTCATTATAGCTGATGATAGTTTATCTGTTGATCATAGTAATATTATAGTGGTTGTTTTATTTTGTGATTTCCTGTGCTTGTTAGACTTGTTTCTCGTCTGTTCTGGACCTAATCTATGGCATCAGGTGAACAAATCAAATCACAATTTTTCAATGTGGAAGGATCCAACTGATCCAAGTCATTGATGATAATTATCAATTTTTCGAACATACCGTTGACCAACGTCTCTGTCTCTTAAGAACAATGTCTTCAGATAATCATTCTCCGTCTCAATAAAATTTTTACGCATCTCAAAAAGCTTGGGAATCGGAAAAAATCACTCAAAAACTATCCAACGTCCACACAAACAATGCTAACCTCATGGAGCTACCTGGATTGTGTGCCAACAGCCTTAATATTGGGTCACGTGGTTTGGATTGCCTAATCATTGTCGTTCTAGATGACAACCTAGTAAGGTATTTAGTAGGCAGGAGCTATCCTCGCACTAGGTCGCCTACTAGGTTTTCATTTAGATCGACAATGGCCTAATAAAGCTCTAATAAGTTCTCGATTCTGACAGTGAGCAGTACAAATTATATCGAATCTATCAAGAATCATAGTTAGTAGGCAGGAGCTATATCCTCGCACTAGGTCGCCTACTAGGTTTTCATTTAGATCGACAATGGCCTAATAAAGCTCTAATAAGTTCTCGATTCTGACAGTGAGCAGTACAAATTATATCGAATCTATCAAGAATTCTTGTCAAACTTTTTCATACAATGTGTTCAGATTAACATTCAGTAACATTCTCCCCCTAGTCGCTGACTCTATTTTCGTTTTCGCATGTATCTTGAGGCGGTTTACTTTTCTAACTGGCCTCTTGAATAGCTGAATGGATGTTCGTATATCTGCTACTCTCACTACGTTGTCTCTACCGGAATACATGTTCTCGATGAGTCCAAGAGGCCAGACACCTTTTGTTAGATTATTGTCATTCATTATCACCATTTCACCAACTTTCAGGGTTTCTTCATCTTAGTTCCACTTGTTGAAATGGATAAGATTTGAAACATACTAATCCAGCGTTTCCAGAAAATAACAGCTAGGCGACACTTTCCACTGCTTCATCAAGCACCTTCCAGTGAAAACACCTGGTGCAATAATATTGTAAAAATGACCAATAATAGATATTCAGTGTCTGTTTTGATGTCCCTTTTTGCCTCCTAAAGTTTATCGATTATGTTGTTGGAACACCGTGGATATGTTTAATTTCGCATTGGTTCGCAAGAAAAAGGCGCTATGTAGGTACAGTTGGTAGTTCACATAATTTCATAATAAAGATGAGGAGAGGAACGTGTGTGAGACACGTCCAGGAAATGCCTCTGATGTTGTCTTTCTTGAACACGAAAGTATCATTCCTCCGCGAAATTTTAGCGCTATTCTTACATAAATAACTATTAGGTATATCTTTTTGATTTTAGTTGCTCGATTCAATCACATCAAGTATGAAAGCAAGTGATAACCTCTTCAAAGAAATGTATTCCAGTGTATTTTATGGCGGTAGCTATTATGACGGACTTCGAGTAGGACAACCCGATGAGTTCGACCTGGACCTGTTGCTTAGTTTGCCTAAATTGGTTGAACCCACTCTGACCACTAGCAATAAACCAGGTTTCGTTCATGTTAAGTTGAATGGCTATAACAAATTCATCAAACAATCAGAAATGATCTCCAGATATAAGTGAGTATTAGATATTTCGGATATTTTTCTCGTATCACCCTCGATAAGCAATCAAACAGTTTATGGAATTGGTACTTTATTTCAGTCATTTGATATAATTGTCACTATCAAACTTGGTATCGTTGATAAGGCACATCCAAATTTGTAATAAAATGAAGGGTTCTCAATTATATAGAAATCTTAGTGTTTGTGAGAATTTTTGGTTCAACCAGAATGAATTCTTGTTGCAGGCAACTTCTTACCTCAATGAATAGATTGATTTCTCAAGTTGTTGTCCATTAAATAATAGTGTAGATTTGGTTCTGTGGTAATCTCATTGTGAGTATTCAGCAATTATTTCAATTTGTTTGATATTCATAAAAGTATACATATACAGTCTGTCCAAGATAAGGTTGAAAAGCATGGGGATCTCGAAAACGGTAAGAGATACGAAGTCGTTTAAATGGGGAAAAAGATGCGCATTCGGAGGCTCATATCAAGAGCCTTCGAAAATTTCAAGAATTATTTTTAGTTTTTGAGTTATATCGAGAAAAGTGAATTTTTGGAATATCTATTTTTTTTTTGTCCGTTATTATTAGAGATACAGCAAAACTGAGAATATTTTACCATAGCAACTTTTGATGACGTTCAACGTGGTGATACCGATTTTTTCATGCGACGTTACGTATTCGTGGAACCATCATCAACTTTTGTTTTTTAAATACGGTCCTGATAATTTCTTCACAGATTCTGAAAGTTTTTTTTATTCTGAATTCAACCATGTATTATACAAGGTGGTTCATGTGTGTTTCGACCTACTTTTAGCCATCATCAATGTTTTTTCGAAATTCCAAAGAAAAACCGCCATCAGTTCCACCTATTTTCAAGGAACATTAGTCAACACACTAATACCTCATCAACAATCAACAACCCATTTCATTTTGCGGAAACAAAAATTCCATCCTTACAAATTCAGAATATGTCAAGCGCTAAAACCAGGCGATGACGAAAGGCGCAGGACATTCTGTGAGTGGTATACCAGGAAATGTCGAAATTTTGCAGATTTCCCTCTAACAATCATCTGGACTGATGAAAACATGGTCACTAATCATGGTATCTTCGATAGAAAAAATACACAATATTGTTCATGAGAAAATGAACATTTATACATTACAGCGAGACACCAACACCGTTTCGGCTTCAATATGTGGGTTGCAATATTTGGTACACGAATTATTGGTCCTTCTATTTACCATGAAACACAGACTTCCAAACGTTATAGAAATTTGCTTGAGAATCATCTTGAGGAAGCTCTGGATGATTTACCGATTGCGGAAGTTCAGAACTGTTAGTTTCAACAAGATGGCGCTCCAGTACATAATTCCAGAGAAGTCCGTGCGTTTTTATCCAGAAAATTGGATTGGTACTCATTCTACAGTCCCTTAGCCGGCGCGGTCGCCTGATTTGACACAGCTGTATTTTTTCTTAGGGGATATATCAAACTTTGTATACGCAAATAACTTTGATGATGAAGAAGAACTAAGGGACAGTGTCTTCGAAGCATTCAATAGAATAACCCCAGAAATGCTTAGCAATGTCTGAGAAGCAACTGTGAGAAGAGGATATCTTTGTTCAGAAAATGATGGTTATCATTTTGAACATTTGTTATGAATGTCTCTGTAGGTATTGTCAAAGTTAAGTTGTTAAAGTAATTCGTGTAAGAATTCATCAACAATTTTAAGCGCTACATTGATCGAATGATGTATTGAAATATTTTTTATTCACTTTTCAGTATTGAATAACTAATCCATCAAGTTTGACATCAAATGATCAGAAATAAGTGGAACTGATGGCTTTTTTCTTTTGGAAGTTCTAAAAAACATTGATGATGGATAGAAATAGGTCGAAACACATTCGATTCACCTTGTATAATACATGGTTGAATTCAGAATGAACAAACCTTTCAGAATCTGTGAAAAAATTATCAGGACCGTATATAAAAAACAAAAGTTGATGATGGTTCTACGGATACGAAACGTCGCTTGAAAAAATCGGTATCACCAAGTTAAACGTCATCAAAAGTTGCTATGAAATAGTATTTCCAGTTTTTTTGTATTTAATAATAACGGAGAAAAAAAAATAGATATTCCAAAAATTCACTTTTTTCGATATAGCTCAAAAACGAAAAATAATTTTTCAAATTTTCGAAGGCTCTTGATATGAGCCTCCGAATGCGCAACTTTTTTCCCATTTAAACGACTTCGTATCTCCTACCGTTTCCGAGATCCCCATGCTGTTCAACCTTATCTTGGACAGACTGTATACGTACATTCGCATTTGAGGTCAATTATTTTTATTTTTTTCTATCTGGCAGCGCACGAAAGAAAATCCCTATAATGTTCGACGAACATCGTGCGTACCCAGGAAGGATAGGGAGAGAGGTAGGTATTAGATGTTTTCTTTCAACTAGGTTATAAGTTATTGGAAATACATCCTTTGGCAAAGAATTCTGTAGCTTCGCCGTTCCATGGATGGACGAGGTTTGTTAAAGTGTTGTTCGACATATTTCAAGGTTGACAACGGAAGGATGTGCTGACTGGGCCTGTCGAGTTCGTCTGACTGGTATTGCTGGTGATTGAATTATAGCAAAGATTTCTGAGGAACTTTTCCCCTGGAATCTTTAGAAGAGTGAAAGGTTGCCGACTTTTCTACGGTGTTCTAATGTGGTCAAGGGATTACTGAGTGTGGCATCACCCATTAGGCAAATGGCTCTTCGCTGGATGGAATATAAGAGCATCAGAGTATGTTTTGGTGCTGAACCCCATATGTTAAAACAGTATACTAAAATTGGTAGTCTCTGTGCTATGTAGATCATGAGAAGTTGAGGTATAAAGTAGATTTTCGCACAGAATAAGAATACGAGTTTTCGTGAGCATAGATATGGTGGTCTTGGTGAGAATGGTGGTACCAGACATTGTTATATCAGGCATACTGAGTTCCGCCTTCCAAGAGACAATAAGGACTTGAGTTTTGGTGGCGTTGAATTCAACTAGGTTGTTGGTCCTCTAGGCTGTATAATTTTAGCAAAATCGTCATTGACAGCGTTGACCTGCTTCGTCGTAACCTATTAGTTTCCTGGGAATAAATGGGAATTCTAGAAGAGAATGCAGTATGGAGAGTACTATCGTTTGCAAAGCTGTGGACAGGGCCAGTGGTTGCTCCCAACAGATGTTTGATATAAGTAGGAACAATGTTGGTGCCAAAATTGATTCTTAATGTGGAACGCCGGAATGGATGGCAATGTTATCAGACGATACTCCGTCCACCACCACATGGAGCGAGCTGCCTGGAAGAAAACTCGTTAAAAGATGGCATAGCTGAGGTGGTAAGCCATATGATGGTCGTTCGTGGAGGAGTCCTTGGTGCCAAACACTGCCGAATGCCTTTGATATATCCAACACCACAGCTAGAGATCCCCATATTTTCCTAATGAAGCTTGTTATATATGGGTGATGTAAGATATTGCAAGCTTTTGCCTAGTTTTTCTGATATGATGGGTTTTGAGTTGTTATCAATACGGCAGTGGAAAATATAGATGTATAAAGTTAACATCGTGTATTCATTTCTATCAATTCGTAAATTCAAATTGATTATTGTTCAATATACCGACTATCAAATTATGAGTCTCAGTATATTACAGGTGACGTAGGCAAGTAAATCTCCAGATGATCTTTTGATGCGAAAGCCATATTGTCGAAAGTGATGATCTTTTTGAAGAATGAAGTATGCATGTGTCCATTCCAAGCGTGATGTTCTCGGATATTTCTGCGGCACACTGTGAAGGATCCTCTGTTATAATGCCATACATGACTTGGGGGAGCTGGAGCAGTTGAAAGAATGAAAAGTTGTCAGGTTGTGGAGATGAGTGTGTGATCAGAATTGCCAAGTGGAGCTTGTACATCTATGGTCAAGGTGCTGAACTATTAATGAGAAATTAGTCAAGTGTGTTGGCTGAATGATTATTGACATCGGGAATTCGTGTAGGTTCCTTGGTAAGCTGCTCTAAGCCGTGAGTGACGGCGAAGCTTCGGCTTGTCGCCAAGCTTCATCCGTTTTGTTGAAGTGTACGAGCCAAGCAGTGATGTGTACATGGAAATCGACCATGATGATGATTTCTGCTGCTGGATGGTTCTGCTGAATTAGGTCAAGCTTCAGGGACAAGAACTCGAAGAGCTCTTATAGAATGGATCATTTGGTGATCCAGTACAGACTTTAGATATATCTGGTCTGTTTCTGGCTATATAGTCTGAACCACATAACGTTAAACGTATTTGGTTCCAAAGTGTTTCCTCAATGACATGAGAGATTCGTTTAGAATAGAGGAAGATGCCTCCCTTGAACCTAAAACGTGTGTGAAGTTCGTACCCAGGACAGAGCATATAGATCGTATTAGTGGATAAATTGACCTGTGTGTCAGTCAGTACCAATATGTCTAGCTTTTCAGTTTGAAGGTGTAGATCGTTGATGTTCCTACTTAGACCACGAACGTTACATAGGCCTGTCTATTTAGAGGCTTTTATCAGCCGTTGGTGAACGCCATCTAGCACATGTCGCCCGGAAATCCGAATGGAGAGATACTTCACCTCCGGATAATTTTCCTTTTACTGCAAAGAAGAGGAATAAGGTTGTCGTGGAAGTGGTAACAAATTGATATTAAATGTTGGTGAATGTCATAGAAATTTTTATTGATTCAATTTAATAATTCAATTTCAATTATATATATAATAAGAGCTGAGCCACTCACAAAAGCACATAAGTGTTATAACTGAATTAGTAATAGGATCGGTAAATTGGCGGAAGACCCGATCACGTAACCCTTAGTCACCTCCTCCTGAATCATCATCTCATGTAGTTAAATTATGGTTCTATAGAGGCAGAGTATAGTAACATGTGTATTGGTACATATGATCAGTTCAGTGGGGTCGTTACTGAGATCCAATAACTAATGTACGACGTAACAGTTGTTTAGGCTCATTTTTACGCGCTGGCCGATGACTATAAGCATAGTGGTTGTGCTGTCACCTATCGTCTGATTTGGTAACATGTAGATCTCGAAAGAAAATGATTCATCGATAAATCAAAGTGAAAAAGGACGGTGGCAGGCAAATTTTCATATCAACGAATAATTTTTTTTAGTGTTTAGAAAGGCACTGTTCAGAATCAGATCATTTCATTATTTTTAGAGAGTCAAAAATAATAAACAACAACCTCGAATCAATACGCCAGAATTTCAAAATCACTCAATGTACGCACGATAAATTGAAACGCTTGAAAGCAAAGGGCCTACTGAACGCGTCAGACACGCCAGACCGTCACCGAGTTGTACGCGTCCGTCATCTCTTTCAGGGACAAGGATTTTCAGAAAATAGGTTCTAGAAGAAGCAACACATTGTATTTACCTTCAAACCACAAAAAAGAGTTTTTGAAAAATGTATAGTACATATCTTGTACCATTGCCCAACTTTAATTTCTGGTATGTCGGTAGTGTTAGGTCTCACGGAGGTTTGCCAAAAAGAATAATTGATTGGAAAACTATTCTCTACGAGTCAGTGAGAAAAAGTTGAAATATTTTTCGTGGGAGTACATATTTTTCACAAAATAGCTTACTCCAGTTTGGGCATTGAAAGTTTCTGGATCTTCTGGCACAGTATTCACAGACCACTTACGTGTCGTTGGCATCCTGTTCACCTTTTTTCGTATTACTGAGCGAGGCTAGTTATCTTCTGCGCCCCACTGAATGCCTCAGTTGAATGCCCTATTTTCTGGGCACATTTCATATATCTACCAATAAAGCACCTCGAAGAATTCTGGTGTTGATTTTTGATCGAGTTTTTGATAATCAGTAATGAGATGAAAATGAGAAAAAATCACCTGCTGGTTTTAATATAGAAATCAGATACAATTATGATGATTATTAAGGTTGTGGTACACCAAGGGAAGAGGAGTAAAATGACAAAAATTCTCAACAAACTCAATAAATCATCTTTTTGGCAAACATGTAAAACTTTTGAATTATTGTTGACCTCAGAAGATTGGTAAGAGTTGAGAACTTGGCTATCGAAGCATTGAATTCATCAATATAGGATTTTTCAGGAAGTTCTTCCCCGGTAATTTTAATATAATCGTGGAATCGAGCTGAAATCCTTCTATGACTCTGGTTAGGTTCTGAACAATTGATTCTGTTAACACCTGATTTATGGAGCAAAGGGAAACTTCCAATATTATAGTTCAATTCTTTTCCATCCACTTGTAATTAACTCATAACAATTATTGTTCCGTTTATCTTGTATCTTATGGTTGCTTCCAATTGTTGAACTTCTTATAATGCAGAGAGGCTGGTGATAGAATCGATTTGGTTCGGAAACGTGTATTTATTTATTTATTTATTTATTTAATATTAATACATCCAGCAGGCTTACGCCCATTTACAGGTGTATGTAATAATACATGATTATTAGTTGGATCGCTAAAAATATATACCTATATCTATACATAACTCGAAGAGAATATAAACTAATATATATATAAACTAGTTCCTCAAGGCACTAAATAGTCTATGCTTGAATTGAGACAGCGAGAGAAAAAATATATCAATATCAATACTTTGTAAATTGTTGTAACTTCGGCACATTGTTGTAAGGGGACAATGGAAGTGATGTTGTGTGTTGGGCACAGCAATGCGGAACGTTATATCTGATCTTGACACGGATCGTGGTACATTGAAATCAATCAGAGAGAGTAATGAGGATGAATCGATATGATTATGGATTATTTTATGCATAAAAGTTAAATCGATTATTTCGCGATGTTTTTTAAGAGAAAATAAATCGAATTCGTTCAGCAATAGGTCATAGCTATAGTGTCTTTGAGGATACACGCCATATTTTTTATAGTATGCATATTTTAAAAACTTTCTTTGCACTGATGATTCAATGGCTTCGATATATTTGGAATGACATGGATTCCATACGACACTGCAGTAATCTAATTTACTTCTCACCAATGAGAAGTAGACACTGCGCGAAGCACCAAATGATTTGAACTCCTTACAGGTACGAATCAAAAATCCCAAAGACTTCATAGCTCTGCCTATTACACTTTCTATATGAGTGGAGAATGTCAACTTTTGGTCAAAAAGAACTCCTAAATCTTTGAATTGTTGAACTCGTGATAGTTGTGAAGTATCCAAGTGATAATCGAATGAAATTGGGGTAGATTTTCGTGTGAAAGTCATGACTTTACATTTATTGGTATTCAAAGAGAGTTTATTTTTGAGGCACCAATCATTGATTAGATCAAGATCCAGTTGTAATAGTTGACAGTCATCAATAGTTTTAATTTCTCTGTAAATTTTCATGTCATCAGCAAATAGTAGTTTAGCAGACTGGATACGATCACATATATCATTGATAAAAAGTAAGAACAGTAAAGGTCCTAAATTGGAGCCCTGTGGTACTCCTGAGGTTGCCTTGAATGTGAATGATTTGACACCATTATATTCTACGAATAACTTCCTATTTGATAAGAAAGATTTTAGTAGTAACTCAATGTCATAGGATATGCCGAAGCTAGACAATTTACTCAATAATTGTTGATGTGATACACGGTCGAATGCTTTGCTAAAATCTGTATAAATTACATCAACTTGATTTTTGCAGTCAAGAGCATAAGACACATATTGGGTGAAAGTACATAAATTTGTTGCCGTGCTACGCGATTTCACAAAACCATGTTGAAATTCAGATAGAGAAGTTCGAACGTGATTGTAAATTGAGTCAAATATGATTATTTCTAGTAATTTGGAGAATACAGAGATTAGTGCAATCGGTCTATAGTTTTCAATATCCGAAATCTTTCCTGATTTGAATACTGGACACACACGTGATAACTTCCAAAGGGTAGGAAAATTACATGTTTTCAGAATCAAGTTATATATAATGCCTAATGGTCTAGATAACAAATTGATGAAATTTTTAACAATTTTAGCAGGAATGCCATCTGGTCCACACGTTAATTTATTCTTAAGTTTTTTTGCAGCTGTTATTATTTGCTCATGAGTTATTTTCTTGATTTTAATGAATTGACTGGGATTTGAGAGTTCTTTATCGATTTTATCTTCAGTTGAGGTAATATCATCAATATCAATATTATAAGCATTTCTGAAATTTATCGCGAATGCATTGACAATAGATTGCGGTGAAGAAATTATTTCGTTGTTGAAATTCATTTGGCCTGGTATACGAGACTTATTCTGTTTTGAATTCACATGATTCCAGAAATCACGAGGATTTTTTTTCATGTTAGTTTCAGATTTTTCAATGAAAAGATCATACGCCGATGAAATGTCACGTTTAATTGATCTCCTGAGTGATTTGGTTCGTTCCAAGTAGAATAATAATTTGCGTTTCTTATACATCTTCAAGTAGTGATTTTTCATTCTGATTTTACGAATGAGTTCTTTGTTATACCAACTTGGATATTTATACGACTTGCATATTTTTAATGGTACAGATCCACCAATTGCATTATTAAGAATGGCGACAAAAGACTCACATGCATCATCTACATCAATCAAAGATCCTACTGCTTGATCCCAGTCAATCTCACTAAGGAGGTAAGAGAATTTATCCGTGTCGATACGATGAAAATCATAACGTTTTACATCAGAAGTAAAATTTTGTTGGTTACCAGTCCGTGTTGATAGTTCAATCAAGAGAGCAGGGTGTACCTCCTTATACAAACCGAAATTCTTCAATTCTTCCTTAATCATACTACTTCACTTCGAGCACCAACGTTCACATTTTAAAAATTAAGTCAATATACCGGGAAACACGAGGAAACATAATAAAATGAGAATACATGTATGATGAATGATCCATTTTGATGAGTCCTTCATCCTGGTAAAAAGTTGCCTCACCTTTAAGAACAACCTGTGTACATACCCAACAAAGGATTCTCTATTCACAGTTTTTCCTTCCAAAACTAAATGACGAAATATGAAATAGCGGTCGGTGTGACTTAGTGTTTCTTTCTACAAGTGTTCTGCAGAACTTCTCAATATTTTTCTTGTCATGATGAATATTTCAGTAATAAATCCAAAGTTAGTAGGAAATAATGAAGTTTCATATAGGAATTTTTCATAGAAACATTTCAGAGACCTATGAAATGATTTTATTCGGTTATTGTTTTGTATAGGAACATTACTACAAAATATATTTTATATGGCATATTCCATGAATTAGATGGGAATTGTTGTTTTTATTAAGAATCGAGGTGGCAACCTCAACATAGAATATTGTTTTCAGAGGATTAGAAAAGCTCATGAATGAGAAGACACATTATTTGGAAACCAACAAAGTACTTCGATGGATGCAAAGGGTAATTACCTTGACGATGAATACTTTTGAAAAAAAGGATGGTCGACCCGTATTGAAAATTCCATCAGGTGAATTTTATGTACGTGTATTTTCAACTTGATTATTAAAACTTGTTCTGGATCATTTTCTACTCATTTTTCTATAGCTGAAGTACAGTCAAAGTGGACCAGCAGTCACCCTGAAAGTCGAGGGTGTAGTTGGAGAAAGTAAATTAAAACTGGACATTGATCTGGTACCATGTTTTGTTTTCGGAAAGGATCATTGGCCTTCAAATGGATTCCGCTCGAACAGCACTAAAAAGAAGGTAAGTACTTATTATCTGTTTAATCATGAAGAGCAAAGTTTGGGAGGATCTCATATTTTGCAATATACAGAGTATTTCCTGAGTACGTTTAGAAAAATGTACGTTATAAGCATGTTCCCGAGATATTTGTATTTGAAATGATAGACGCATTTGAATTGTTTCCGCGGGGCTCGTAAGTCGCCTCTAAGTAGTGAATATCGGAAAAGATACGCCAATGCATTTTTCTTCCTTCATTCAATGGTCTACATTCAACACTTGAATGTAGCCGAAAAATTATTTTTGTTTTTTTTTACATAGTTTTTTGGACCCTTTTCCGATTGAACATTCAGGTGACTAGTTGTCATCCAAAATAGACTCTAGTAATATAATTCACAAATACAGTTTTGACGATGGCAATTTTTATTGCGAGGCTAGACGTCTAATCATCGAGCGCCGAATGATAAGACATTCAGAATCCTCTTTCAGCTTTCGGAGTCTGGATCCTCTAGAAAAGCTCCAGTGGTACACATACCGTTGACTACTAAGACACCATAAGTTGAAGAAACTGTTCTGTAGGCAATCGAAGAAAATCCACAGACAAGCAGGAAAACAATTGCGCAAAATCACAAATTAGTTTTGGTTAATTCTGGAACAAAATCAGTTTTACCCTTATCACACAGAGCGTGTCCAAGCATTGTTGCCCCGAGATTTACTTTCCCGTTCAATATTTTGCCGATGGATTCTGCACAAAACCCTCAACACATATTAATTGTTGATCTGTGCCCTCAATTTACTAAAAAAAATTGAAACATTGATTGGAAAACACTCATATACATTTGAAAATAAAATCAATACGAACATGATTAAAATAACATAACATAACAACGTATATGGTCAAGTTCAGAACCTTTGTATATCGTAATGTATATGTATTGTATACATAAAATGAATACGAATCAAGATACTTCATCGAATTGAAAATTGTCGCGTACTCTTAGTTAATAGCGATATCGACGAAGAATTCCTGGAGATTATAATATGATTTTTTAATTAGTATTTCTAGTGTTATAATGTGTTTCAGTGTTTACATTTCCAGTATATTTTTTATGTATCATACATACAGTTTCGTGGATGAAGATAAATGTGAGAATGTTATGAGCCTGAAATAAGGGCTTGCAGTGGTCGCGAAATTTTCCTTAACACATGTATCGTACAGCCTTATCTTGTAGTAGGAATATAGATTCAAATAAATGCTGGTTACAGGACTCCCCAGAAAGTGAAGCCATACCGCAAATGCGATTTTACCAGCGAAAAATATACCATTCTTGCAACAGCAACAAATAACTCATTTGCGACTACTCTAACAGCGTAGCATGCCGATTCTAATTTTTCACTCAGGTGTATCACATGGCTCTCAAATTCAAATCTCTCATCAATATGTAGCCCAAGAAACTTACAGTAAGGTTTACTTTCGATAATAACCTGTGGACACAATTAAAGATTATCTATAGAATATTTGAATGCCATTATATTAGTTTTGGATAGGTTCAGTGAGAGCAGGTTATAATCGCACCACTCTTCAACTCTGAGCAGATCATCACGAACAGCCCTAGTTAATTCATCGACATTATGGCTATTCCATAGAAATGTTGTGTCGTCATGACGTAAATGATCCACTTATGTTGACGGGAGTTATATCGTTAATGTATAATGTAACAAGAAGATAATTGGTCCAGCACGGATCCTTGTGGTACACCACAACAAATATCACCGAATTCTGAAGATTCTCCACATGCCCTCAAGATCTGATTATGACCTGTGAGATGAGACTGCAGCCAGTTGTGGGAATTTCATCTTAAACCATAACGGAATAGCTTTTGCAGCAGTATATTTTTTTATTTGCGCAGTCGAATGCTTCAGAAAAATCACAAAAGACTGCTGCTACAGTTTCATTTGTATACAAGTGTAGATATACCTTTTCTAAAAAGTAGAAAGTAACATCGTTAGTATTTTTGTTTCTCTGATAGCCAAACTGATTTTCATCTGAAATATTTTGATGTAGAAATGGCAATAGTTGCTTTCTGAATATGTCATCAATGATTTTCAATGAGGTGGATAGCAAGGAGATCGGACGGAAATTTGACATAACTACAGAAACTTTAAAGCAGGAAGGAAACACTTCAGTCGAGAAATATTCCTTTATTGGGTGGACCAAAAAAGTTGAAGTATTTCAACTAATTAAATTAGTTTTTAATTGAAAAAATTTAAGAAAAATGTAAGGTTCCACTAGGAAAAGTAATACATTCAAATTAAGAGTTATGTAGGAGGCGCCATCCTCACAAAAAATATCCCCAGATACCAAACTTTACTCGATTATAATTATTTTGAAATTCATTCATAAAAAAACAAAAATTAGAATTCAACTTTGATTATCTGTATCTCAGAAACGAATAAGTTGCACTCATATGTTTAGAGGAACTTTTTCTTTAGAGGAACTTTTTCTTCTTATGTACAGATCGCGTATTTTTTGTTGTTGTACCACTATTGGCATCTCGAAGTAAGTAAAATATACAAAGTTAGTTAGAAGACAAAAGTTGCCTATATCAGTGAACAATGAAACGATGTTTCCAAATATGAAATATGACGAAGCGTTCTCAAATAGTACGGGCAAAACCGAAATGGCTGGTTTCCCTTTCTTTGAGCTAGCGCCTCAATTTTTAGGAATTTATGAATAGTTTCAAAAAACTTTCCTTCTCTATTTCAAATTTGTTTCGATGTGCTGTGGTTTCAATTCAACCAACTTCGACTCATTTACCGGTTCCGATATCTCAATAGTGGTACGACACAATGTTCATAGAACTGATCATTGTCAAAAGTTGCCTCGATCAGTAAACGCGTTGAGGGGAAATAGTAGTTTGTGACGCATCTAAAATTTCATGTTGGGTTCATAAAAATGTATCCTTGATTCTAGATCGAAACTGGACATGTAAATCTTCTGGAAGACAGTAATGAGATATAGATTCCCATGACTTCAGAATGAAAATTTCGACGGTATTACCGTCACAAATTACCATTTTTCCTCACCACGTTTTCTGATCGAGACAACCTTTTTCTACAAATATTTATCAATTCTACCAACCATGGTACGACATAAAAAATACGGCCTGTATACTGAGAATATCGGCTGTATATCAATTCAACTCAATATTTCTTTTTTGAAAACTGTCTATCCCTAGGTATATATCCTTGGTTGAATCAGTATGCAGGGTCTTGCAGTGAACCACGACTAAGCAACCAAATTCAAGATAAAAGCACCACCATGAATTGACTAATACTAATTTTTATATCTGAATCTAGAGTACGATTTTGATGATCTTTTGGTCTCATCGTTGGTATTATCAGTTATTATCCACATCGTTATACCTAAGTGACCCATTACTTTTATGAAACTCACAGTAACTTTCAGATGCTTGAGTGGATAAAAGAATAAAACGTCAATTTCCCTAATAGCGCCTGATTGTCAAATACGATTTTAGAGGTTACTTTTTGTCAAATCAATCATAGCCGTAGATGGACTATAGAAATAGGGTATTAACACCCACTTCAATATGTTAATATGGCACTTTTCGCAGAACAACAGTTATAAAAATAAAATGTAACAACATTTTAATATGACAAAATAAATACATATGGATATACTTATAGCTAGTTCGGTCGGTATTGAAAACACCATTCAATGATAAACAGATAAGGATGTCTATCATGGGGTATAGTTGATGATGGTTTCTCCGCAACAAAACGTCCTACGGAAAATATCTCAATGTTATTTTGTAGAGCTTCAAAAATGGGAATGAGGAAGTATCTTCTGTTTCCTTATATCTCTTCAATTAACGCCAGGAAAAAATTATGATAGGCATCTTTATCTTGGAGACAGTGTATATCACGTTGCAATTTACTTGATTTCCTCAGTTTCGTTCTCAAATGTTCAATTTCATTACGTAGTTTTGCAATAAATTCCTCTTTCTCAATGATATTTTTTTTTTGCATTTCGTGTGATGATAATAGATTTTTTTAATAGTCTATTTTGTAAATGGATGGAACAGCAGATTCTCTCTAATGGATCTTGAGATCTGTTCAAAAATAGGCCTAAAATATAGTTTCGTTCTAATCTGCTGTTATGAGAAGTGAATTTTAATGTATGTACCTACCTCACAAAATCTGCTGGTCTTCAAATTAATTTTGCATCCAGGCCGTTTCATACATTCCTTCGATATGAGAATGGTTGATATTTCCTTTGGAAAATTGAATAAATGAAATCCATTCTCTTCAGAATTTCCACAATTCATTACACAGCAGGTCATTTTCATTTATGCTCTCTCCTCAAACGTTCATGAAATGTATTGTCAAATTCAGACAATTTTGAATGAAAAAGCGCGGGACGACTATAGTGCTCTTGTCACAATGCAAAATATAATTTTTATGATGTACCCTTATGTTTTTCCGCAATAAACAATGTTTTTCAGAATGAGAATCAACGGTATCAATCATTAGGTATTTGAGAATAATTGTTGTGAAGTAACAAGAGTGTTAACTATTAAACATTAATTATTCAAATCTCGGCAGCGAGATTGAAAGATATATGGTTTTAGTTTTGATAGAAGAATTTTGAGTTGAATTTATAATCTGTAGTAGAAGTCCATATGTTCTCAGAATAAAGTAAACTGATGAAAAATCAGAAAAACTTCGAGTCATCACAATCATTTCATAAAGATATGACTATTGGACAATTTTGGACGCCATCTAAAATCGTCTTGAGATTCATATCATCATATAATTGGAAAGGTGACTTGGAGTGTTTTTACTCTTCATAAATTTATAACTGAAATAATAATTGGACTATACTCTTTTCGATTTGTTTTCAGCCAGAATTTTTTATCGTGCCAAAACCTTTGAATGGGTTATCAGATGCTGAACGTTATTGGCGATTATCATTCCAAGAACAGGAACGAGAATTAATAGATGGAAAAAGTACACTGAAACCAACTATCAAATTACTAAAGGTCAGTAGGTTACTTTTATTTCGACCATCCTACAAAATCTTTGTACATGAATTATCTCTAAATGTTGACATGTTTCAGAGAATGAGAGATATTTTGGACCACAAATGTATCGCAAGTTATTATATCAAAACCTTTCTCATTTGGGAAGTATCCGAATGGAGAAAAGAAGACTTTTGGAATAATTCACTGAGTTATGTATTCATGAATGTAAGTGCATTTTGTAATTTTGATGACATAAAATAAGAGTGGAATGGCCTAGTTATCTAATATATCTTGGGAAATCTCGAATGTAAACATATTATATTATTCAACAGCATTTTTGAAAAACAATTTTTTTGGAATAATATGTTATTCTATCTATTCCAAAAATACCAGCCCTGTTCAGTAATAACACATTTTCATATTGTATTATTCGTTCTCGATTTTTGTTTTTTTTTATGAAAAAAAGGTTCCTTAGATGTAGCTTTTCTTGAGAAGAATAATTAATAGTTGGATTCTGAAGTACCTTCTTCATAGAGCAGTTTTATGTGGATATAAGTGAACAATACAAAATTTTGAAGAACAATATTTCCTCATGTTAGAGTCCCCAGCTTCGTAACAGCATGCTGATGGTGTGACAAAATTCAGTGTTTTGGTTTTGCGATTCGGTGTCACAGTTCATCTCCTGGTAGACTCATAGCGACCGAATGAAAGTCATTGTCATCGAAGATCGTTCTGACTCCTGAATAGAGTGGATGTTAACTTCCTCAAATCGGTACATGTATTGGCGTGTTTGTACTCTTTTGTCCTAAATACCAAATGAGTATAGGTACTCCACTAAGGTCATCGTACGTTGTGATCGAATTTATACAGGATGTGGATGAATCCGAATGAGGTTGTACACATTAACAGCCACAAATTTATTTTTTAATTATGAGAATCAGCCCCTCTCAAAAACAATCGCTCTTTATGATGTGATAAAGCGTTAAGCACCAATACTGACATATTTCACAACAGCCAACGAGAATCAATCCACATAGCAAGTACATGACTCATATCCTTGATAGTTACAAATTCGTAAATTTCAATGATTATTCGAAAATTGTTAATGAAAGTGTCATATTATGATATGTGGTCACGCGTTTTCCTGCGTTCCTTATGTTATGAAATGCGAAAACGATTATTCAAAAATTGTATAGAGTTCTGAGGAGAAAACGGTTTGCGACAGTGAAACATGCCAATTATTTAATTATATTCCTTCTGTTTCAACTTTCAACCCACTTTCCCGCAACCACCTGGGTAGACCACTTCGAAGTTTGTAACGTTGGTGTTATGCCGACATATATATACTGGATGATCGGACAAAAACTGTCTAACCAAGTTTTCTCCGTTTTAGTGGAATAAAGCAGAAAACGTTTGGCCACGTCAGTTTTGATCTTGTGAGACACATTTTTGTGGTATTTTCATTTCTTGGTTTTAACTCCTAAATTGGAAGAGGAAACTACCTATACCTATACCAACTTTTGCATTATTTCAGATAGAAAGGTCTGTTTGGTATTTTAACGAACTTGACCAATTTTTTTTTATTTCGTGTGGACTATAAAACCTTTCATTTGTTGTGACTAGCTGACTAACGTTGTTTTGTTTTATACATTATTTCTAGAAAATACATTTTCAGCTGAATATTTATCAACACACTTCTATTATTTTACTTGATTTTTTGGGATTTTCTCTCCTCGTTTCTATAAAATAAAAATATGCGTATTATTTTAATATATTTGTAGTGGGACAAATCAGATGATTTGCTTCAAAATGTCACTGCGTTCAACAAATTTTTCTATCAGAGAGCCTAAAAGAAAAATCCAGTAGCTTGTCAGTGACAATTTGTTTGAAAAATGTTTGAAGGGAAGAAATATAGATATACAGGGTGTCCCAAAATTGTTCGGACACAGAGCTACCACGTGTAGGGGAGGTCAAAATAAGTTGATTGGATGCAATTTATTTATGTGCCAAAATGTACCGTTTGTCCGTGAGAAGGGTTCAAAGTTCACTTGAAAAAACACATTTTTGTACGCTGTTCAGGAATAAGTGGAACGAATTTGATGAAATTTGGCAATAGTGTATTTCAGAGGATTACTTTCCTTTTGGTAATCTAAGAAACCTAAAAGAAATTGTAGAAGGGTTGAAACCACCCTCACCTCCTGACGTTTTCTTCAGAACTTTTTTAAAGGTCATGATACGGTTCTAAAATTTTCTGAGCCCGAAGACTCATCAATTACCTTCATTTTATCACTCTTGTAAAAATTTCGTATACCAGATAGTTTCGAAGAAAAAAAATGTTCTCTCAAATAATGCTACCAGATATTCCTATAGTAATGATACCCGCGGTAATAACAAAATTGAAGAATTTATTGAAACATTTACAGACAACGTCAACAACGAACTTGAATGACAATAAATTTTTTTCCTGACGAAATCACGACTTGCCTGCGTTTCCACTGCCAACTAAGTTTTATATCACAATTTAATTAAACTTGTACTATAGGAATATCTGGTAGCATTATTTGAGAGAACAATTTTTTTCTTCGAAACTATTTGGTATACGAAATTTTTACAGGAGTGATGGAATGAAGGTAATTGATGAGTCTTCAAGCTCAAAAAATTTCAGAACCGTATCATGACCCTTAAAAAAGTTCTGAAGAAAACGTCAGGGGGTGAGGGTGGTTTCAACTCTTCTACAATTTCTTTCAGGTTTCTCAGATTACCAAAAGGAAAGTAATCCTCTGAAATACACTATTGCCAAATTTCATCAAATTGCTTTCACTTATTGCTGAACAGCGAACAAAAATGTGTTTTTTTTTCATGTGAACTTTGAACCCTTCTCACGGACAAACGGTACATTTTGGCACATAAATAAATTGGGTCCAATCAACTTATTTTGACCTCCTCTACACGTGGTAGCTCTGTGTCCCAGCAATTTTGGGACACCCTGTATATTGAAAAAATATCGAATTTTTACTTATCTTTGGACGTTTCGGGACCGAATCTGCTCCCGTTCTCAACATAAAAATGCAAAATATCTCTTTTTGGAAGTTTGGAAGTTGTTGCTTATAGTTTGACACTTCTCAGTGTCATCCTGATGTTGGCATATGAATGAGTGATTTTAGTCTACAAATGGGCTACAGGATGTTTTCATTAATTGATCTTGACTCTACCATTTCCATGTTCAGATTTCAGTAGTGAATACCATGTTCTATCTATATCAACTGAACAGGAAGCAATGATATTGTCTCCGTTCAGAAGAATGCAAGCGGATTCCTTGATTTGTCTTTTTTGGTTGTTATCTTCATTTCCTATGATTTTGATATTATTCCACTCTGCCATATGTTGTCCATCTTCAGCAAGGATATGTTCAGTTAGCTTCGATTTATCGATATGTCTTTTCTTGATATTGTACTTGTTTAGTTTTTCATTATGTGAATTGGGACACGCTGTATAGAGTCCGGAACACGTTCAGATCATTATCTAATATCTAATCAGATCATTGGAAACGTTGTGATGACTTAGCCTGCAGTCGTTCCTGAGTCTATTCATTTATTGTACATTGATATAAGATTTTAATCTCTACTTACTTTCTTCAGGTTCTTAAAGATTATTATGAATATCTGAAAAAGAAGAAAATCCCATACTACTGGAATAAAAATAATAATCTGATAGATTCAGTAAGAGAAGAAACTCTGATAAACATTGGAAACAAAGTGAAAGCTATAATTGATGATGTAGATAAGAATCTAGAAGATCCTTATGTAATTGCAAAGTATTTATGTAAGTACCTTATATGACTTTTTTTTCGGATGTATGATAAATTGACATTCATCATACAGGACGTGGAAAGACATTCTCAATTGAGAAAACCTAATCACGAACCTGCGATGGAGGTCTATAAAAATAACAATTTTCCATCGTTCAAGCTTTAACCCCTTGATTGGGTGGAAGTATTGAAAAGGATTATTCTCAGATATAATTATGAACATAAAAAAATGGATATATGTATATAAAATACATTGAGAATTCGCATTCTCCATGTGATGAACATATCAATTCTTTCTCGCGGTTTATTCAACATTTTTCATGCTCTCTTTTAAGATATTTAACAGATATAATTCAATGTTCGACGTGGCAAATAGCTAGGAAAGTAGTTTTTTTCTGTTGAATATTCAGAATTATATTATGTGGATATCTTTATATGTTGGAGAATGCAAATTTCCTACTTCAGAATATTTCGTTTTAAAATTCTTATCGTGTGTGTTCAATAGATATAATTCAATGTTCGTCGTGCTATGTAACCAGGAAAAGTAGTTTCTTTTTGTTGAATAAACCGAGAAAGAATTGATATTTTCATCACATGCGAATTCTCAATGTATTTCTTTATATATATATATACTACTTATATTCATAATAATATCTGAGAAATTCCTTTTCAATACCGTATATGACATTGAAACATTGACTATTTCACTCATCTTAAAATTCTCACATACTGATCAATCACAAGCCAAAGACAATTTGTATTATCGCGAAAACATTAGCTGCCTCTCAATTCTGACTGGTCTATCAGCGATGTATAGGATTATAGATTATTCTCAGGATAATCCTATGATGAATAATACAAAATGAACTTCTAGGTTGATAACTTACCTTTGGTTTTATTAGGTTTACGTTCGGGTATCAAAACAGATATTGGGTGTTCTGTAATGTTTCTGAAATTATTTATGGTATAACACTCAGATTACCTAATGAATCGAGTAGCAAACCAAACTTAGATGAATCAACATTTGTAGTTGGATTAAGAAATTTTGTCAGTTCGTTAAAACCAGCATACAGTCGAATAAATTTTAAAAAATGTTCCATTTCTAAAGATCTATTTAGTTCAACTCATATATTCTTGTGTACTGATTCAATAATCAACACACTCCAACCTTGTTATACAGGTCCACATCAAGTGTTGAAAAGATTACACAATTTTTCATTATTGATGTCTGAATAAAAGTATTAGCCACATTGAAAACCCATTTGAAAACCCTATATATGAATTTTACTATTATTAGCTGCTTGGAGGAATAATTTTGCTAGTATTTTATTGATGAAGAATTGAGCAGGAAGAGCACTAACTCGACTTCCAGTATCAATTAAATACCTATTACCAGAAAACCTATCCTGTGCGAAAAAGAGGCGATGATTCTCAGTAGCGCCAACACATTTATCCTCATTTAATTGTTGGAGTTTTTCGTCCAAATACATGGGACAATACATCCATGTGCTCGATGTCCATATAAATTATAACGCTTATGGAAGAAAAAGTACTTCTTATTAGCTGATATAGAGACCTGCTTCTACTACCAGACTGCTTCCGAAATGGTGAACGATGCGTTAGTCGTAACGAATGAACCAATTCTCGCAGTTCTGACAATTTCAACATTCCTTCTTATTGGAATATCTCGTAGAAAAATTATCTGGGGAAACTTATTGCTTGCGAATCTAGGTTTTGACACAGCTAGGTGGTCTCTGAGGCTGAAGGAAGATATGTTTTAAAATAGACTTGTCACGTAAATGATCATAGTAATTAGTAGTGAAGTGCAATAACCTCCATATATTTCAAATTTCATTGTGAAAGTGTCCATCATTTGTTTGAACCAAAAACAAATCGATAATAGTTCTTACGAGAGAATTAACAGAGGAAATAAAAACCTCTGTAGACAATGCGATGTTCAATCTCCTTAAAGACAAGACTTTCATGAAAAACAGCAAGTAGTATCGCAGCAGTTGCAAATACTATGAACAAAAAACTAACGATGGAATAAAAAGTAAATGAACTGAAAAGTGAGGTCATTAACTTCAAGAAAGAAACCGAAGAGAAATTAAACAAGCTACAGAATGTTATAGACAACTTGGTAGTGGAAAAAAAGTCTATGGAAAGAAAGTACGATATTACAGAGCAGGAAATGAAGAAAAACAACCTTCGTATCTTCAACTATGAAGAGAAATCGAGATCTACTACTGTATTTTAACTAGAAAATGTCCACGAAATTGAAGGATTCAGATATAGAGATCTGTTACAAAATTGGAAGACAGGATACCGATACTAAACACCGTGGAATTCTTCTGAAACTCAGAGACTATTCAATGAAGCAAACCATTTATACAAAAAAGAGATTGCTGAAAGGTACGAGGGTGGTCATTAGGGAGGATCTCATCAGCATGAGAGTTGGAATTCTTAACCAAGTTATACAAAAAGTTACTCTAAAAAACACTTGGTATTCGATATTTTTGTCGTGACATAATATTTTTTTTTTCCAAGTACTTTTATTCAAAAAATAACAAAAATACATTTTACAATTATTCGAACAAAAGTTGTTTCCTAATCAGCATAAGTGCTGGTCCCGGAACAAAAAATACAAAATATACAATACATATTCAAACTAACAGGTTTAAGGTCACAAATACTAAAGTCCATAATAAAATTTCTAAATTACTTACACATAATAACCACTCAAAAATACATCTAAAATCACCCATTTCTCATAAACTATCAATCTTCCTCCTGAACATACATTTTTATTTTATTTTTAAATTTGTTAAAGTTAGGAATATCTCTAATGTGCTGTGGCAGACTGTTGAATGTTTTTATACATTTGTTCAGTGGGCTGTTTAAAGCTATGCTTGTTCTTGCATTACTAATGTATAAAGTGTTTTGTCTTCTTGTTTCATAATTATGTATGTTGTTCACCATCTCTAACTGCGAATTGCATTTGAAATTATTATTAATTACTTTGTACAAAAATTTGCTTTGCTCACTTCATGAAATCCAAGATGGCGGGTGGCGTAAAGTTGTCGTGCGAGTCGTGTGCCAAAAATATTACTAAATCAGAGTATAAAGTGCAATGTGGGACCTGTGAAAAGTGGTATCACCCTACTTGTGTGAAAATAAATGAAATGGATGTGAGAATTATGCAACTGAAGAAAAAAGGGTGGTTTTGCAATAATTGTAAATCCACGCGGAAAAGTGGGGTTAATTCCAGTCTTGGAGCTGAGGCCATAAATTCCTCTTTTAAAGAAAAAGAAGAAGACCTCCGTACCAGGATAGTACCAATACCGACAGACTCCACAACCAGTGATAGGCTAGAACTACTTATTCTCGAGCTAAGGACAGAAATACGAGAAGTAAAAAGTTCTCTAACCTTCATGAATGAAGCTTATGAAGACAATAAAAACCGAAACACAATTATGGAGCAAATTATACAGGAACTTAGGAAGGAAAATGAAACTATGAAAAACGAATTAAATTCTATAAAAAGATACATAAACAATGAAGAATCGGACAAAATTAAAAATAATCTGGTCCTCATTGGTATCTGTGATGACACTAAGGAAGATCCCAAGAAAACCAAGTATAATGCCATCAAAACATTACATTATATTGACGAAACCCTAGTGGAAAATGATGTGAAAAATGTAAGAGTTATAGGTGTGAAGGACAAAAAGCCTTTAGTGATAGTTACCATGAATGACTATAAAAAGAAAATGGATGTGTTGAAAAACAAAAACAAAAAAGGCATCATCAATAGAATGGCCTGCAATCTGAATCTAAATGAAGGAACAATTAAGATCTACATCAATGAAGAACTAACATCAACAACCAGTACCTTATTTAAAGAAGCATACAAGCTGAAAAGTGCTGGATACAAATTTGTTTGGCATAGAAATGGTATCATATTTGCAAGAAGGAAGGAGGGTGAAGATGCTGTCAAAATTGACAGCAAAGAACAAGTCCATGAAATGCTGGAAATGGTAACAGCCTAAAAGACCCTGCCTAGTTGAAACAATCTATTATTGTTTTTTTTTTTTTTTTTCTATCCATATTTATGATGCACAATGAATTATTTGATGACTATCAGAATTATGAAGTTAAATTTTGTGATAATGTCAATGATGTTAGCTATTTCAATAGTCCAAATGCAGATCTGAATATAATTCATGTTAATATTCGTAGTTTAAACAAAAACTTTGATCATTTTACTGTCTTTCTAGAATCACTGCAGAAAGAATTTGATGTAATAGTAATGTCAGAAACAAACATAATAAGAAACCTAGATGACTTTGGTTTATCGAATTATGATGTATACTACAATGAAAGCAAAAAAAATAAGTGTGATGGCACTGTGATATATGTTAAAAGTGAATTTGCTAATGAATCAAGTATATTGACAGTGAACAACACTAAATTCTTGAGAGTCACCTTGAACAAAAATGGTACTTCAATAGGGATCATTGGAGTCTACAAGTCACCCTCTATAGATTGTGAGAGTTTCATAACAGATGCTGAGCAAGTTCTGAGAAATAATTATAATTGTAATATAGAAATATTTGCAGGTGACATAAACATAAATATTTTAGAAAAAAAGAATAGGATAGTGGATGAATATCTAAATTGTTTGAGTGAAAAAGGTTATAGTTGTGTCATTGATAAAGCCACACGAGTGGAAAAAAACAGTTCTACATGCATTGATCACTATTTCATTAAATATAATAATATAAATGCTCTCCAAACCAATGCAATTATACTAAATAGTGGAATCTCTGACCATTTTCCAATACTACTAAATGTGAGATTATCAAATAATAGCCATCAAATCCCAGTAACAAACAAATATTATGAAAAACTTGACAATGATAAACTTGGAAGATCATTAGAAAACGAATCTTGGAATGAAGTAACAAATAGTAATGATGCAAATTCAAGCTCAGAAAAGTTCATCTCTATATTA